TGTGTGTGTGTTGTATTTATGTATGTATGTATATATATGTATATATATATATATATATATATATATATATATATATATATATATATATATATATATGTATATATATGTATATATATATATATATATATATATATATATATATATATATATATATATATCTTCTTCTTCTTCTTCTTCTTCTTAGCGTCATCCCTATTCGGGGTCGCCGCAGCGCATCTTTAATTCGCGCATTGTTGATTTTGGCAAGAAGTTTTACGCCGGATGCCCTTCCTGTCGCAATCCCTTTTTAGTCGCCTTTTACGATCACGCAGGGGATACGGTGGGACTTTATTCTAAAGCCGGACCCACACAGCTATATATATATATATATATATATATATATATATATATATATATATATATATATATATATATATATATATATTCATAAATATATATATATATATATATATATATATACATACATATATATATAGATAGATAGATAGATAGATAGATAGATAGATATATGTATGTGTGTGTGTGTGTGTGTGTGTGTGTGTGTGTGTGTGTGTGTGTGTGTGTGTGTGTGTGTATATATATATATATATATATATATATATATATATATATATATATATATATATATGTATATATGTATATATGTATATATATATACATATATATATACATATATATATACATATATATATATATATATATATATATATATATATATATATATATATATATATACACACGTGCGCGAAAGTGACAGGTGGAGGTAACCACTGGGAGTCGCAGTCCTATGCTGACCTGGACTAACAACAAGCATATCCTGCTAGGCGACTTCAGTGCCAGAGTTAGTAGAGACAGCGATCAGTAGAGAGGAATGATAGGGAAGCAAGGAGTGGGGAAGATAAACAGTTATGGCCTTCTTCTGCTGAGAAAATGCGCCGATCACGATCTGCTGATGACCAACACAACGTTCAGGCAAGATGGTAAGTACAAGACTACATGGATGCATCCCCATCTAACTGACTACGTCATCGCCCGCCGTCGTGACAGCACGGACGTCTTCATTACCAGGGCAATACGTGATGCAGAGCCAAGCTTAACATGCACATAATCCCCCACCACTGCAGGCGTCCAAAGCTCATCCGAGTGGCCTTCAACACAGCAAGACTCCTCTCACCCAGATACCAGCATGAGCTCCAAGCCAGTCTTGACGACAAGTATGAGGCATTAGGGCCACTAACTGGTGGACATGAAGAGAAATGGAACCTGTTCAAAGAAGTGGTTAAAGAGACAGCTAAGACTGTACTGGACCCAAAGAAGAGGGTCCACCAGGACTGGTTTGAAAAACAATAACGAGGCCATTCAGGCACTGCTAGATGAAAAGAGGAAGGCCTTCATAGACTGGCAGAGCCACCCAAACTACCCCGCACGACATGACAGATTCAGGCCAGAGCCCAGAGGGACATTCACACCATGCAAGATTGATGGTGGGAGGAGAAGGCTGATGAAGTGCAGCACTACGCAGACACCAACAACTCCAAAATGCTGTTCAGCACTTCAGGTGAGGAACAGCCCCTCTGCTCTCTGTTGATGACTCTGCCACCATCAAGGGCAAAGAGGGAATCGGTGCTGCCTTCAAATGTCGACTACAGCAGAAGGTGCCACATGAACACCCTGACCTTCCACCCAATGAGGGCGAGGTCAAGAGCTTCAAGGTATTCTGTGATGTCTTTCTGACCATCTGGGAGGATGAAGACATGCCAGCGGACCTCAGAGATGCCACTATAGTGGCAATTTACAAGAACAAGGGATCAAAATCAGACAGCGGCAACTACAGAGGAATTTCGCTACTTTCAACTGCTGGAAAGATCCTCGCCCACATCCTCCTCAACAGACGTATCACCAACATCTCTGAGAGCAACTTGCCTGAACCCCAATGTGATTTCTGGCCTGATCACAGCATCTTTGATATGATGTTCACAGTGCGTCAGGTCGAAGAGAAGTGCATATAACAGCAGATAGTCCTTTATGCAGTGTTCATAGACCTGTCCAAAGCGTTTGATACGGTCAATAGAGATGTCCACTGGTTGATTCTCAGGAAGCTAGGGTGCCCATGAAAAATTCACCACACGGATACATCTTTGGCATGAAAACATAACAGGTCAAGTCCTCTTCAGAAATTCCTTCAAGATTTTGAATGGCGTGAAGCAGGGCTGTGTCCTTGCACTGGTGATGTTCAACCTGTTCTTCACACAGGTCCTACTACATGCTGCGAAAAATCTCGACGTGGGCATCTATATCCGGCATCACTCCAACGTCTCTGTCTTCGACCTTCGTCGCCTCTCCGCCAAGACCAAGACCCTGGAGAATCTAATCCATGGAGCCCTCTTTGCAGATAATTGGGCCTTGATGGCACACAAGGACACCACCTGCTGGCCATTATTAATTGCTTCGCAGAAGCACCCAAGCTTTTTGGACTGACAATCAGGTCTTTGTCCCTTAACAGCACAAAATCCCAGCCATGATATCGCCATCAAAACACCACACTGAAGTGCATGGAGAGTTTCCAGTACCTTATAAGTACAATTTCTGCCAGTGGTTCATTGAACAAGGAAATCACCACCAGAATCCAGAAAGCCAGCCAAGCACTTGGAAGATTGAGAGTGAGAGTCCTGCAGCAGGGCATCAGACTGTCCACAAAGCTTAAGATCTACAAGGCCGTAGTCCTTTCTTCACTTCTGTATGGGTGTGAAACGTGGACCGTGTATCGACGGCACATTAAGCAGCTAGGTCGCTGCACACGATCCTGGACATTCGCTGGCAGGACAGAGTCATAAACCAGAAAGTGCTGGACAGGGTGACAAGCATATAGTCTTCTGAAGGCTCAGCTACGATGGATTGGCCACGTCATCAGGATGGACGACAGCCGCATACACCGACATCTGTTGTACGGCGAGCTCAAAGAGGGCTTATACAGACAGGGAAGACCCAGACTGAGGTACAAAGATACTCTTAAAAAGCAACCTCAGGTGGTATGGAATCCAGCCTCGTGACCTTGAAACCTCAGCTACAGACAGAAAAGTGTGGAGGCCCCTCACTCCGCCAGCAACAGTTGCATTTGAAGGGGATGCAATAAGTGAGAATACAGGGTTATGATCCAGAATAACCTTCAGACGGTTAATGTTATGATGATTATCATATAATTCCAGATAATGCTTTTGATTGCTTAGTCCGTTACCATGCAGGATATAATGGTCAGTCGCAGAACAAAGGGATCCCTGCATTACGAGGATATACTCTAATGTGCATATATGTTTTACACATTCTCTCTCTCTCTCTCTCTTTCTCTCTCTCTCTCTCTCTCTCTCTTTCTCTCTTTCTCTCTTTCTCTCTTTCTCTCTCTCTCTCTCTCTCTCTCTCTCTCTCTCTCTCTCTCTCTTTCTTTCTCTCTTTCTTTCTTTCTCTCTCTCTCTCTCTCTCTCTCTCTCTCTCTCTCTCTCTCTCTCTCTCTCTCTCTCTCTCTCTCTCTCTCTCTCTCTCTCTCATACACACACACACACAAACACAGACTATATATATATATATATATATATATATATATATATATATATATATATATATATATATATATATATATACACTCACACTCATACTCATATTCATACTCACACTCACACTCACGCACACCACACACACACACACACACACACACACACACACACACACACACTCACACATATGTGTGTGTGTGAACTACATAAGTTCAAGAAAATTATTTTCCTCTTGTTTTATTTATTGATGATCAAACTTACAACTGTAACAAAAATGTATAAATTTAAGAGGGAAAGTTGAACTCCAGTCTGCTTATCAAGTTGCCAGATTGCTCAAATCTTTTTTGGGGTGCGGGAGCAGTGAGTACCCTGAGCAGTTGTACCAGGTTAATCCACCATAGGCGGGTAGTTATGAAATTCCTTCGCCGGACCCACCCATCAGCGAGGATCCACCCTACCTCAATAAAGTCAAGGATGGGAAAACAGTGGGTATTTTCGGCATCCCAACTTAACTGTTAAAGGTGGAGAACCTATGACAAGGGGCTTTCATGCTGTCCTGTCTGCCAACTGGCAGACTGGTACCATTGCCCCTGACTTGCTGAGGGGTGTGGTCATCCCTCTCTGGAAGGGGAAAGGGGATCGGTGGGACTGCAGCAATCACCGACGCATTACACTGCTCAGTATATAAGGAAAGGTTCTTGCTCACATCATTCTGAGATGTATCAGAGACCACCTGCTGAAGCACCAGAGGCCCGAGCACTTTAGATTCACTCCTAGTAAGTCCAAAGACCATATCCTGGTGCTTCGAGTCCTTGTAGAGCACCGACGTGAGTTCGGGTGTGGGCTGCTTGCAGCTTATATCACCCTCAAGAAGGTGTTCGATACGGTGCATCGTGAATCACTTTAGGAGATTCTGGGGCTAAGAGGAATTCCAACAAGGATTATTGGATTAATAGCAAGCCTGTATACTGGCACTGAAATTACTGTTCCCTGTTCTTCCCTGTTGGTTCAGGAGTAAGGCAAGGCTGTGCTCTTGCATCAGAACTTTAAACATTTGCATGGACTGGATACTGGGTAGAGCTACTGTCCAAAGTCATTGTAGAGACTTTGGACAGGGCAATATCAAGGTTACACACCTTGACTTTGCTGACGATGTTGCTATCTTATCTAAGTCTCTGGAAACTCTAGCGGTGGCTCTTGATGCATTTAGCAATGAAGCAAAGCCCTTCGGGCTAGAGGTCTCCTGGACCAAGACTATTATCCAGGACTTTGGGGGCCTGCAAGGAGACCCTGTTCAGTCAGTATGTGTTTGCGGTGAGGACATTAAGGTCACAGAGAGCTTTACATACCTTGGTAGTGTAGTTCTTGACATCAGGCTGTCAGACTAGGAAGTCAGTAGACGGATTGGCCTGGCAGCAGGGACATGAAATCTCTCGCCAAGAGTATTTGGAG